GTTTTTACCTTTTACTTTTAAAGTAACTCGAAAAAAAAAAAAAAAAAAAACTTTTCGTACGCATCTAAAGAAAGCAAATTTTGTCAAGATTGTAGAGATTGTTCCGAACTGCGGGAAAGAGAAAAGGGGGAGAGGATTGCGCCCTTTCGATCGGCAACAGGAGAGGGATCGTATAAAATCGAGAGCAAAGAATTCACTACTAGCTGATAAGTTATGAATAAATTACGATTAAACTGTAGAACTGTAAGGGGAAAAGGGAAGTACATGCGCGTTGATAGAGACGACACACGAACACACAATATACACTTCTCACTCATACATGAAGATATATATATAAATATATATATATATACATATATATATACATATATATATATATATACACATCAGAGTAATATATATACATATATACATTACATATATGTATATATATAAATAAATAAAAATGAATGATTTGAATAAATAAGAAAAAAATATATATATTTAAGTAGATAAATATATATATATATATATATACATATATAAATATATATATATATATGATGTTGTGACGTACTAGAATTCTCGCGGATACTGTCCGGAGCGGTGACGTGTCTACACGCGTACGTACGTCGTGTTCCTCCTCGCTTTAGAAACTCACTTTTAGGGCGGTTATCAAGAAAGTTCGCGCATATATTGCGGCGCGTCTGTGAAGTTACGGGACGCCGGAAGTGCCGCCGGAAGTGCAAACAAAAAGAAAAGAAACCGTAGCGTTTTACGTGCCGCAGTATTGAATTTATGCGAATTATTAGGTTTAAAAAAAGGGAAAGGGGGATATATTGGTGATCGGGGGAAAACTAAAGTGTCGCATGAAACAAAAGGGCGAATATTGGGGGACGCTTGGATAGAGAGGTGCACCGATAAATGAGCTCATTTATCTCTAAGGGTTAGGGAACTCGAAGAAAACGGGGGGGAGGGAGGGGGGGAGGGGTCTGAGATTCGAGGACACTAAACACGTGGTCGTTGAGATCAAACGAAACGCGAAGTAATAACTACATTCTAAGATACTAAGCAACTCGAGGTTCCTGTCTGCAAAAAAATGCTTTTTCTAACATAACGTTGGTAAAACGACGATCATTATATTATATTTGAATTATTATTATTATTATGATTATAGATTACGAATATTATATTTACATGTATGTGGTCATGTATTGATTATTATCTATATAAACGTTACAGCGTTGAACTAGCGTACATTTAACACACATATACAACACGGTCCAAGAGAGACACACGGAGAGACACGCGTATGCACATTTCTAGATACACATGTGTACACATACAGTCGCACACATACACACTAATCGAATCGTTAACGTCGGAATTCTCAGTGAAATCCGTTTTTTCCGACCGGCGGTGGTCCATCTTTACAGGACGTAACCGGGCGAAACTAAAAAAAAAAAAAAAAACGTAGAATCTTTATTTATATAAACCGATACCTCGCAAAATATAAGACAATTAACGGGTGCGATCGAACCCCGTAGAATTAATTAAGGCGATTGTCGCGGAATTGTGCGCACGTTCGGCGACCACAAAGATCCGTACTGTCTTTAGAAAAACATTGCAAACGCGATACGCGGCTTTATCACTACCATTATCACTAACACTAGCACGAGACAAAATGTTCCAAAAAGCGACAGCTTAACTTTTGAGCCGAGACTGCTAAGACTGCTAAGAGAAAGAGAGAAAGAGAGAAAGAAAGAGAGAGAGAGAGAGAGAGAGAGAGAGAGAGACAGAGAGGAGCAAAATTCATTTTCCCTCGTCGCGTTTCCTACGTATGTGTAGTTGTAGAAAAAGAAAAGAAGAAAAAAAATGCACTTGAACGCACAAGAGGATGCGCATCGACGGTATCTATTGCGATCTTAGTTTTTCGAATTCGTTCGCGAGAGATGGGGAAGAGCGACGTGTTTTGTCGTAAAGATCGTAATATTCGTTAAACACGTATCAAAAAACACACACGAACACACACACACACACACACACACACACATACACACACATACACATGTACACATACATACTAAAAAAATCGAATTTTGTGTATGAACTCGGAACTACACATCGCATACCAGCGTGATTCTCAAAACGCGGCTACGTACGTGCGCGTGTACGCAAAACCGGTGCGGTCGGTTTTGACGTTTTGAGTTTCGAATACGGGAGATTGCGTGATAGAGTAACCGAACCTCGCTAGCTGTTCCTAAAAATCAACAATGAGTGAGTGATGAGCGTGTGCGGATTATGTAATAGTGTGAGAGATGAGTCCATGATTATGAGAACGAATATGAAGAAAAAAAACGAATGCTATATACATATATACATATATATATATATATAAATATATATATATATATTACTGCGTTGCGCGGCGAGAATTAAACGTGACCGATGTCGCCGATGCCGTTTTCCGTCGATACGCACGCGGTCGCTGCCACGCGCGATCGATTTAACCGTGTCTCGCCCTCTCTTTTCCCGCGAGCGCGCATCGACGAGAGCAGAATCGAGCGGCGGCGCGATCTGATCGCGCGGAGATCAGCAGGTATTACGCACTTTTGCGGAGAACTTTTCTTCCGCCCTTTTCCCGCGGCTTTTCGCTCGACGAGGAAAAGAGAGAGGGAGATATATATATAGAATGAGAGAGAGAGAGAGAGAGAGAGAGAAAGAGAGAGAGAGGAGACGACGGTCGGGACAGTTTTGCAAATTTGTGCTATATTTCATGTGACCGTAACGTGTCACGTACGACGAGCGGACGGCCCGGTATGTCGTGTCAGTAGAACCGTTCGACGATGGAAGAGGCTACGGTGACGTTGAGGTTTTTTTTTTCATTTTTGTAATCTCGTTGAGTTTCTACGAAGTGCGTTGAACCTGTCTATTTATTATTAACTTTATCGATTACCTATATTGCTATTGTGATTATTATTGCGATTATTGCTATTATCATTATTATTATCATTATTATTGCGTTATTGCATTACTATTGTCATTATTATTACCACCATTATTGACCGATATTGACTTTTTGCGAATTTGTTCGAGCGGTACTTGATTGACTATTAATTAATGGATACTAATTGATAACAATAGTGACTAATTCTTGTGAGAGATTGCCATGTGTATATCTATATGTACTCACTATAGGGGCACTGTGAACCTCGCGTGGGTGCCGCACACCCACAGACGAAGCGGTGTACCCGAAACGCCGGCCCGTGCAACCCCGATGATGTTGGCGCCGCGCATCGGTTCGGTATACGATCGGCGAAGAACGAAGTCGTACGGTGTAATCGAGGAGAGAAATTTCATCACCTTGAACACCTTTTCGATAGAGGGAGAGAGAGAGAGAGAGAGAGTGAGAAAGAGGGAGAAGGGAGGGAGGGGGACGAAATAAGCAGATGAGCGCCTCTTTTCGCGCCTCTCGCCAGGCCCTTTTTGTAAAACGCGGAGGCGCAAAGAGATCGGCAAACGAACGCGAGGGTGTGAAGGCGGCTTAAGAACAGACATAAAGGTGACGCGCGAGTGCGTATACGCGTATCAAAAGTGACCGTCGGAATAAAATACGTTTTACAAGAGGAAAATAAATACAGCAGCGCGAACTTTTCCGCGAACAGTCTCGCTGCATTTCATCGTGCCGTCGATGTTAAATACGACACAATTGTCAATGTCGCATCTTCCGTTCCAGTCACTCTCGGGGGGGTACACGCGAATTCGTTTCACCGAATCCCCATTTTAAACTCGGTTTTCGTAAACGACGCGCGGAGAATAATGATTTTCACGCGATCGACGATCGGGCGAGGAGCGGTGGAGAGACAAAGAGCCGTCCTCGTTCTTCTCGCCCGATCCAGCGCTCCGTAGATTCGCGCGCGTTCTTCGCGGTGTGTACAGGCTTATCGTTATCCATTCATTGGTGTTGCCGTGTGCACACATAAACGTAAAAGAAAAGGGAGTCGTATACGCGTGCGTGTAGTAACGCTTTGTGGTTCGAAGACGGCGGTGCGGGAAGATCGGGTGGAAGACGGGAAGGCCGCGGCGGAGTCGCAATCGCGAAGGCGCCAACATCGTGCGGAAAAAACGGGCACGGTGCAATCATGTTCCTATTAGGTTTCATATCTAAGCGAGTAATTAATTATACCAGTAAATATAATGATGATGATGAAGGATACG